CACCACCCGGAAACATCGATTCCGAAGTAATTTTCAACAATTCTTCAACATAAAACTTTCTCTGTTCCATCTGAGCTCTTCTCTTATTTGTTTTCTGAGCTAATACATTTGTAGTATTAACAGGAAATTAAAAAAGCGAACCCAAACTTATAACTCTTTCATTTTTAAATACCTGCATTTTGTTTCATACGCGATAGGTCACATTTCCTTCATCAATTTTTTTCAAGAAAATTTCCAGAAGAGTTTCATTTAATTGTGCTATATCGTATTCCTGCAAATGAAATAAAAGTGTCGACATCTGAGAGTAGCTGGAGATAATTTGAGAGCATCTAACCGATCGTGACTAATCTCAGATAAAAGTCAGGTGTGTGTGATAGGTATGGAAAGTGATTTTAGAATGACTGCTTTCACTTTTCACTTTGCTTTGCTCGATCTGTGCATGACAAACGCTGAGAAACAGTGTGAGAATTTCAGGTAGAAAAATAAATTCATATATTTCATAGTTATTTTCAGTCACTACATTTCAGACAAGTCTCATTTTCACTCTCCGCATTAAAATTCATACGGAAAGTCACTTGCATATTCCGTCTGGAAACCAATTTATGGACTTTGAGACAAGTTGCGAAGGTATGAAAGAAATAGAGAATTGTTCAATCTATGCTCTATCTTAAAGAAGAAATGTCGCAATAGCAGCACCGATTAAACTGCTGTGATGGATACGAACTGCAAACAACGACAAAGATAGTTGCAGTTGCAGTAGTGGAATGCAACAGTGAGGCACGAATTAAGGATAATAGTAATGGGAAGGGAGATAGAAATGGTAAGGAGACAGACCGAGAAAGAGTGGTAGCAGAAGTGCACCGTCCCCAATCATTGGAAATAAGAAAGATGTTTGGTTGGCAACGGGGGGCTGCGCATGAAAACAATCGAAAATGATTTATAGTGAAAGAAGGCTTAACAGTAAAAATCATAAGTAAACATCCAAAACACGAAAGTGTTGGCGAATCGAACTGACAACACGCAAATTTGCACGCTGTAATTGCATGCAGTTACAAGAATATGAAATTCGACAGCATCTAAGCGGAACACTTCTTCCCACCTGCACCGCACATTGCGCACATTACCTCTATGTAGTGAAGGTAAAACACGGCGTATATATGTGTGTGTGTGTGTGTGTGTGTATGTGTGTGTGTCTGTATGTCTGTCTGTCTGTAACGCATGAGCGTTTGCAGAGCAGATGCAGTGGGTTACCGCAGAATGTATCCAAACGCAACAGAAACATTGACCCTGTTACCTTTTCGCTTTGATTATCGATAAGGATGGGCAGAGAGACAGAGAGAGGGAGAGAGAGAACGGTGAATAAGTGAATAGATGATTGCACTCCGTCTTATTTTCGCATTACTAGTGATGAAAGGCGCTATTCACGGACAGATCTATCCCATCATACCGGAATATTCCTGCTCTTCCGCAGAGGCGGGTTGGATAATAAGGAACTATTAATTACTACTATTACATGTAGTAGTAGTTTCTAATTCCCGTATTTGTTAATTGTTGCAAATATTAATTAAATTTTTTAATTTTACAACATCTTCCAGCCTATAATCGTAAGTAGCAATTTTGTTGCTTATTTAATTTGCAGAAATTGTAATTGTAGTAGTTAGTAAAAATATTAAAGTATTTAATTACTAATATGTATGCTGCATAAAAAGATCACAGTTTTTTTTTTCATTTATTCAATACACTGATGTAACATCATGGCTGGTACAACTTTTCAGATATGTTCATGTGAATATATTTTATTAGTTCAAGATTTTATCCTTCCTATTAAATTTTCTTGAATATCAGGAAGCCGCATATCTCATTATGCGGACATATTTCGCAGTATCATGAAAAGTTTTGAACTATCATTTGATGAATTTAAGACAGTGTCAATAACTTGAAAAGATTTACAATTCATTTGCAAAATATCGTAATATTTTTGAAGAAATAAATAAGGAAATAAGCGCTTTATAAAATAACGATTTTAATGTGAAGAAGTGAGATTGGTCCTAAAAGAGCGTCAATGGTATGTAAGTCAAACAATTCGTTGCATTGCATATCATAAAGTGTTATTTTCATAAATATTGCTGTTTTCCATTGCTGTCAGTTTGAGAAAGAAGTATGTCTTTTAATTGATTCCTAATTAAAATTTTACTGATTTCTGAACTTTGTTCTTCTCTTCTACTTCAGTATTATTTCTTCTATTTCGTTCACAATCATGGGAAATTGCAACTTGATAATAAACTGGACTAACGGATTTTCGTCCAGTTCTTCAAAATAGAAATTATGTAATCCGAATGATTTGCTATTACATTAATTAGGTAACAGTAGATTTAGTGATTTTTAAATGATGGTTTTATGATCAAGGGATTTAATGGAAATCTATTATAAAAAGCAATTGGAATTCGTTAGCTAACACTTTGTGATAAACTTTAGATAAAAAGAAAGGATGAATTTTGTAAAGTAGTTAGAAACAAACAATTTTCACCAATCAGTGGTTTATAATACCTATAATTTGATAGAAATGGTGCTAGAAAATTTGACAAACTAACGAATAGAATGAACACTGAATCATCTCTATTTAAATAGTATAGACTGTGAAGTATTCAAAATTCTGCATACCTTCATGTAGTAATGGAATGTGCGGCCGTTAAGTCATAAATTTTACAACATTGATATTGCGTGGGAGAGAAAAAATGTTGTGATCAGTGGCGAACACGGATCGACCAGTACGTCATAATATTATCAGTGTTTGTTGTGTTGTGAACAATCTTGTAGGTTCTCTCTTTTATTGTTGCAATTCCAACACTGTCATATTTAGCCTATTTCAAACATGTACGGGAAATCAGTTTGCCATTAGGTTAAATTACTTATCTAGTCTAACTTCTGGGTTCATAATTTTATCCTGATATATTACGTCTAGAAATCACTCTCGAACTGATCTTTCCGGTGTTCTTTGTTGATTTGCAATGGACTCAAAATTTGAAATACTGATAGAAAATTTGTAACCAAAATTGTTGTTTGAAATTAAGATCACAGTGTGAAAATTTGAGGTCAAGAGTCCCACATGTTTTATTTAGTGAAGAAATATATGTATTGATATATTCTAGGTCAAAATTTATTCCATTAATATTTAAGAGTAGGGATCATATATCACAAAATTCTCAGCCTTTTCTCAATTCTCAATTCTTTTCCCAATTCTCTAGTTGAGATTTATTCTTTTTCCCCCATTGCAACACTAATTGCAACTTGAATTCAATAATGAATGAAATATGGGCATTGCAATTCGTGGATTTTAATTTGAATTGGGAAATTTAAATTATAATAAAACTCTTTAATTTATGTTGACTTTGCCATAATTGCCAGCTAGAAAATCGCAACCCACTTTAACTGCGAGCTAATTTTTTCTCTTCCAGTTGTCGTAACTTTTCAACGACATGAAAACTGCCACAAAATCCCTCTTTCTGTATATAGTGAGATGAATTTTCTATTTTCTTCAACTGTTAAATTTGAAACTCAAACTCAATAATTTACTTTTATTACTTCATAATTGTGCTGAAAGGTGTAGAAAAATAAAATACCATCTGGAAAAATAAGCCCAATATCAGAAAATTTTCGAATGAGAACTGTTTATATTTTGGAGTATCCAAAGTAATAACGAATTCATTATAAAATCTTAGAATCTTGCTCAGCTCATCTAGTAGATAAAAAGATGTACATGAAACCAACAGTCAGATGCGCAAATGTCGTAAAAATATTTTTCAACTTCAACTATGGTATGGTCCATGTTCGGGAATAGGACGTCCATGAGCTAGATAATCACATAAACTAACTTACTGACATGTAATCATGAGGAAGGCAAAAAAACTGAAAACATGTTTTTTTTTTTAAGGCTGCCAATCAAAAACAGAGTTATAATCCTTTGAGGTAAACCATCTAATCTTCCGTAGCAGAAGTTGTAACAAACAGACCATCATAAAATCAGCGGCCACACAGGTGTTTAGAAGATATAGAAATTGGGAAAAAGCATCCACAAGTTTTCCTAAAATAAGAAGTCGCAAAACGCGGAGAGATGAAGAAAGATTTTTCAAATTGCTACATTAACAAAAACTTTCTTAGTGTTTCAACATGAATTGGAATGAAACTTATCAAAATGCCCAATTGAGAATCAAAAAGCATTTTACTATTCTTGGATGGGTATTTCTGGCCATTCATTTAAAAGAAACTCACTCTGGTTGTGAGTTCCAAAAGTACTGTCGAACAAGTCTGTGTGACAAACATCTTCTTCGATAACAGTGTTAAAAAATTCTCAGCTATCGAATATAGTCGGCTTACTTATTGATAGCAGCTTGCTAATGTTAAACTGACTAGAAAATCATGGATCATGATTAAGATCAAGTTTAACGAAACTAGTGTTACACTCTTGAAATGTATGTAAAGTGTTACTGCGATAGAGAATCGTGTGCGTGAAAAGCAGTGAGTTATCGTAATCGCCCGCAAATCTTTTTCCACTGAACAAACCGTTAAGTTTGGCAATTGAAATGTGATTAATGATAAAGGCAAGAACAATGAACAATTATTGAATAAAGAAAATCAAAACTGATGCATAATAAATCACACTGATACTACCACGGAGAAAATGATCTAATCCATAGAGGAGTGATATATAATCACGAGTATCCACCCATTCTAAATGGAACATATTGTCCCTTTGATAGTAGGTATGATATTTATAAGAGATAAACAGACCCAATAGGACTCAGTGTACATGGAAAGAAGGAATTGAGACAAGTTGAACAGGCCTGGAATGATTATGTCACACATATGGGTCTCAGTGACATCTGAAAGATCGAATGATAAGCCCAGTTGACTTGGATTTTTTGTCAGGCTGTACATTAACCGTTGCTTAACTATTAGGTAAAAGTTGCACAATGTGAACTGCAAAATTGTTCTCAGAAAAATGTGATCCCTCCTTTACTTGGAATCCAAATTATCTCAACTCCAGAACTATGTAAATCTTAACTATTTGCCAATTGATTGATCATTTTATCATTTTTGTTCAAAGTTTTTTGCTTTGCTCCCAACTTATTTTTTAATATTTGCAGATTTCCTTCAATTCGCATTTTTCTGGAATGAGTTTTTTAATGCATGTCAATTGTTCGTCGATTGAGTGAACTGGTTGTGTGCATTGTAAGGTTTTCTATATGTTAATTTTCCATGCTAGAACAAAAGGCTCTAAAATAAACTTCCAAAAGATATGGCAGTTTGAGTATCTGAAATAAAGGCCAACAAAGCAGATCTATTTTTTTAACTCCAATTCATAGAGCTACCATATTTATACATTCGTCACATGTTCGATGAAAAATATTTATCATACAATCAGTATACATTGTTCTTTTGAATAAATAGTTTATCCTTCCCAAAAATTTTGGAAATTTTGCTGGTATCATTATCCAGGTTTTAAACGAAATCACTGAGAATTACATGTGAACATCATTCCTAGACATGTGAAAGTGCAAAGCAAGTGATACTGCACCCATTTGATTAATTTAATTTGCTCAATATCAAAATTCTGATCCCTTAAATTGCAACAAATGAACTCAAGAACAGCTAATAGAACAGTTAGATTAAAATGGTCAAAGATTAAAATCCTGACATGCTTCAGAAATCCCCTTTCCTTTACAAGCCAACTTTTAAACTAGAAAAATTAAATGCTCAAAGTTCCACGCTGAACACTATCATATAGCTCTTCTTAAACTAAATATCCGCTCCATCTCCTTTACTCATTCCTTCGAATTTTTCTAAAACTCAGCTAAACTCCTGTCAATTATAACCATTTAAGCTAATTTTACGCCTACTGAAATGGAGAATAATCTGATTCTGAGTAAACTGTTATA